ATATCCTTGTGCCCCTCAGTACAATAAATTCAAAATCATGGCTCCCTCGTGTTCAACATAGGGAACCCACGCTCTTATTTATAAACTGCAAATGGAAAATAAATAAGAGATGAAATCTTACCTTTTTTGTTTTATTCTTGAATATGCTGTGGTGCGAAGTAAAATGGAAGCAGTTACGATGCGAAAAGTATGTTCAAGTCGACGCTTTAACCGTTGTTGATTTTTGGTCACACGCCGATTGTTATTATCGTCTCGCGTTTCATCGTTGGTTATTAGTTTATTAACAATTTGAATTATTGCGTTCGAGGTACGAGAACGCAACCCCTAATTTGTGTTGGGTGTTCTGTGCATTATCGGGTGACTTGTGCAATTAATAAGGGAGTTTTTTTGAGATTGCATTTTCGTTCGTCGTCGTCGACACACATTTGCCTCGCTTTGAGGCGCTTGCTTAAGTTTTGCTTCACTTTCACGCGCCAGCTCATGTGGTGATTCTTGTGTCCTCGGCCTTCATCTTTCAAAGGTTTGCTAAGGTCTGATATTCTTCGTAAAGCGTTCATCTTTTAAAAAGTTTGCTGAATCTTCGTAAAGCGTACATCGATCTGTGATTGCTGAATCGTCCAAAGCGTTCATCTTTCAGGAGTTGCTGTTAAATTTTACTTTGGATTAAGCCTTCATATTTTTCAGCATGGAAAATGTCTGCGACTACTGGTGCACGCATCAAACCGGGTTTAGTTCGGCGGCCGTTATGCCACAAAGTAAATTTACCGAGTTGTGTAGCTCGGCTGCCGTTTTGTCACAAAGTAAATTTACGAGTTGTGTAGCTCGGCGGCCGTTTTGTCACAGAGTAAATTTACGAGTTGTGTAGCTCGGAAGCCGTTGTGCCACAAAGTAAATCTACCGAGATGTGAAGCTCGGCGGCGCCATTTGACCATGACTTGTGATATTTTCGGCACCGGACAAACGAACACTTTAACTCTATGTTATTTATTCGGAAAAACTTATAAATCAGCCCACAGTAGCGCCACTCTCGAGTCACTGACATCAACACGCTCGACCAAATTACTGGAAAAGTTATTGACGTGAGCCGCACACACGTTCCATTTAAGGCTTTGATAGGGTTAGTGCGAAGTTTGAATTCAGATGTGAACGCTTTTAAAACAGTAAATTCAATGTAATTCATTTTGTCAACAAGTTGATGATTGGATGCTGTTAAAAATAACAGAGAAAATTATCCGAAGAAATGTTTTTGAAGAAAGAAAAAGAATCCCGAGTTAAGAACCAATCGGCTTTTGAGAAACTGCGCCCTGTAAATCGCGCCAGTAAACAAAGTGTTCCATTTACACCTCCGAACCAAACGATATCTTTTGAAAACGTTGATACACAGTTTAAATAGAGGTTTCGCTGCACGCAACCCTTACGTTCGAAATGTGCCATAATCACATTTATCTACATCGCAACCACCCTTCCGCCTCAACAAACATATCGAACGCACTCTCCTAAGCTCCGATTACTCCTAGTCGGTAATATAAAATCGAAACTCGATAGCTGCTCACGTACAATCAATGCCTCCAGTTGTCTGGACCAGTTTACAAGGCAATGCCGCGCGAGGTAACGTTCCACGATGACCATTCAGTTAAAACAAAAACTACAAGGCAATAACTGGATGTATATGCAATCGAACTTGAAAAAATCTCAGAACCAAGCAGAAAAGCTCAAGAAACTTTCAGATGTCAAACGCAAAGTTAACTTCCGGTCCAGTCAAGTAGAGGCATTCAGAAATCGAAAACTCAGTAATCAATTTCTGATCATTTTGAATACGAAGATTTTTGTTTTAAATAGAAAAAGTGGCCAACCGTACATTTATCCCTTAAACTGTTGTTGGAATGAATTTCTTGAAAAAAAAAACAAAAACAAAAAAAAACCTCGTAATACTTAAATACGCCTTGAAAATGAATCGGTCGTCAAATTAATTTCATCTCTTGTCTCTTTTCTCTCACTCTCTCTCGAACTGTTAATAAATTAATAACCAACAATGAAACGCGAGACGATAATAACAACTGGCGCGCGACACCAACTGTGAAATGAGAGCCAAACCACATAAAGCATTGTGAAATCAACAACGCTTAAAGCGTCCACTTGAACATAGTTGTCGTATCTTAAAACAACGTCCATTTCACTTCGCACCACAGCAAATTCAAGGATAGAAAAAAAAAAAAGAAGAAAAAGGAAGAGATTTTATATCTTATTTAATTTATATTTGCAGTTTACAAACGCTGTGGCTATATGGCCGGTAACCGGTCAAGGTTTTTAAACTACTAAATGACCAGCAGTCCTGTCTTTTCAGTACATTTCACAAATTGGAAAAGTCGAGCTAAACCAAACCACGATACGTTGAGAAGAAAAGTCAAGCCATCCTGAAATGCTTCATAAATCTCAAGAATAGAGTTTGGTTCACGCTGGGCTCAGAAGACAAAGCCATATTTTGTGACACTAATATAACTTTTTTCAGCTCGACTGCCGGTCAAGGTATTCTCACTAAATTTCACAAAACAAAAAAATCCAGCTAATCTAAACTATATCATACGTCGATTAAGAAAAGTCAAGCGATCCTGAAATGCGTTATAGATCTCAAGTCCAGCGTTTGGTTTACGCTGGGCTCAGCAAATGAAACCATGTTTTGTGACACTTATACAACATTTTTCATCTCGACTGCCGGTCAAGGTGTTGAATGCATTAAATGACCGGCAGTCCTATAATTAAAAGCGTTTTCACATGACGTCACACGGCGGCCATATTGGTGTCCCAAAGCAATCCTGAGGGAGGTGAACTATTTTCATATGCAAACCCTTTTTGTTCCAATAAATTTGCATAGATGCTACATGGTCACGTGAGCTCTATATTCTCAGTAAAATTTTCCTTTACTTTACTTAATCGACATATGATAGAAAGGTGTGATAGTTTAGTTTAGCTAGATTTTTTCGATTTGTGAAATTTACGGCGAATATAAGACTGCCGGTTATTTAGTGTTTTGAAAACCTTGAACGGTAGTCGAGCTGAAAAAAAGTTCTAAGTGTCACAAAACATGGTTTCGTCTTCTGATCCCAGCGTAAACCAAACGTTAGACTTGAGATCTATAAAGCATTTCAGGATGGCTTGACTTTTCTTAATCGACATATGATAATGTAGATTAGCTGGGATTTTTCGATTTTGTGAAATTTACTGAGAATATAGGACTGCCGGTCATTTAGTGTTTTTAAAACAATGCCTCCAGATCCCATGCACTACAGGCATACTGGAGCTTTGGTCTCACAAGTGTCGTGTACGCGGTTTCTTTCACTGACTTTGGACAGTTCCACAGATTGCGTTTGATAAGTCCTAAGACATTATTTCACCTAGATATGATTACTTCGATGTGGGGGGACCACCTCATTCGTTATCAAACACTACTCCCAGATAAGGGTGAGATTCAACTTCTAGAATTTCTCCACAGAATATGTATTCCCGCTTTGGTGGATCTCTCTTGGTTATAAGGCACACGATCTTACACTTTAAAGGATGGTATTCCCTCTTCAACTTTTGTTGCCAAGCTTTTAATCAAAATAGATCATGCTGAAGATCGGCTGCATCTTCATCACAACAGATTGTTCCATATAACAGTGCGTCGTCAGCAAAAAGTCTAACGGTAGAGTTAAGACCATCACGTAAATAATTTATATACATTAAGAAAAGTAACGGTCCTAACCCGTCCCCTGGGGAACGCAGAATGTCGTTATTACAGGAGCAGCTGATGCTCCCTCAATTACTTAACAATAAATGAACGAGGCTGAGTATCTTATGAAGAATTATGGAGATCGAGGAGGGTGTTACGGCCTCGACGGATAACACCCTCCGAGATCTCCCCGATTCATAATTCTTCATATGATACGAAAGCCGAATTCAATAATTGTCTTACTATTCATTCAAAATAATTCTTAGTTTAAAAACATAGCTAAAACATGTTTACCTCCATCGATCCATCGATGTTCAGTTCATCTTCAATAGTGTACGTTTAGGTTTGTCCAGCTCGGCAAATATTCTCCAAATAGCAGATGTCACCTCCGAGTTGTCTTCTTGCTGTTTTTTCTATGTTTTTAACTATTACTTCGCCTAGTTCCAGCTGTAGTTCTTAGGCTTGAAACGAGTGAAGTGTCGGCCATTTTTGTTTTCATAACCAAAACAACTGAACCTCGTCCCCGGGTCTTCCAGGTTAACGGTTCATTAACCTGTAGAAGGCTGCATTTTTGACGTCATTTCCTCGTTAAACACAAAATTCTTCCAAATCTGGTCATCAGTAAGTGGTTATGGTGAATTAAACATGTACTTTTAGCCAATCAGAATCGGAGAAATATTTTGAATGAATAATAATACCAATTGGGTACGCTATGTTAGAAACGATTCGAACCAGTTAAATAACAATCTGTTTAGTTAATTGCGTTCGTATATATTTATGCATATATATATTTTTTCAATTACTTATTTCTTTTTAAAGACATAGATGAGTGTACAACACAAACTCACGACTGTTCTGCAAATGGTGTATGCACTAATGCTGAAGGATCATTTCAATGTGAATGTCAACCAGGTTTTACGGGGGATGGAAAAACATGTGGTGGTAGGTTAAGTACATAGAATTGTTTCGATTTATATCAAAAGCCTCATCAATTACTAAACCTGCTGTCAGGGTTAAAATCAATTCTTTGCGTTTCCAGACAAACACAGATTTAGCTAACAGAAAACAACCGAGGGTACAAACCTTTTATAATAATAGTTTTTAAATACATTCAAATTGCGATTTGTTCCTTTTTATTTGTTTACTTTTGTTTTACTTACTTTTTGTTTATAATTAGTTTTTAAATACATTCCAACTGCGATTTGATCCTTTTTATTTGTTTACATATGTTGTTCTATCTCATTTTATTTTTACTTTATGCATACTTATTTGTCTATTTATTTGTTCGATTACCTATTTTTATTTCCTTTTTTTTATTTCTTTTATAGATATTGATGAGTGTACCCTGCAAACTGACGACTGTTCTGCAAACAGCGTTTGCACAAATGTGGACGGATCATTTAACTGTGAATGTCAACCAGGATTTACCGGAGATGGGGAAACATGCAACGGTAGGTTAATTAAGAATAGAAGCCTGTCTCAACATACATTAAAAACATCGCTAATGGCCCTGATGCTCATGGATTGTTGATCAAACTGTTTACTTAATAGCGTTTTTTTTTTCTTTACTTTAACAAACCAATGTATTTTATTTACATATGCATGTATATATTTTCTTTATAAAGATATCGATGAGTGCGTATTGCAAACACACGACTGCTCTCCAAGTGGCGAATGCACTAATTTGGACGGATCATTTAACTGTGAATGTCAACCAGGATTCACAGGAGATGGGAAAACATGCACGGGTAGTTCAAGAGTATATATTGTTTATTTACTTGCTATTTGTCTATTTCTACATAACAATTTATTAAGTTAATTATTTTCGAATTTATTTTTTAGACATAGACGAGTGCACATCAGAAATTCACGACTGCTCTGCAAATGGCGTATGCAATAATGTGGACGGATCATTTAACTGTGAATGCCAACCTGGATTCTCAGGAGATGGGGAAACATGCAGTGGTAGGTCAATAATATATTTTCTTTCCTTTTTTCTCTATTTCTGCATATCAATGCTTTTAGTTTCTTCCTTTCTTATTTATTTTTTTTTACCTATCATATTTTTATAGATATAGATGAGTGCACATCACAAACTCACTACTGTTCTTCAAAGGGCGAATGCATTAATATGGATGGGTCATATCAATGTGAATGCCAATCTGGATTTACAGGAGATGGGAAAACATGCAATGGTCTTTGTCTATTTCTGCATATCAATGTGTTGAAGATCTTATTTTCTTATTTATCTTATTTTATTTATTTATTTACTTATTTATTTATTTTTTTATAGATATAGATGAGTGCACAACACAAACTCACGACTGTTCTTCAAATGGCATATGCACTAATGTGGACGGATCATTTCAATGTGTATGCGAACCAGGATTTACAGGAGATGGAAAAACGTGCAGTGGTAGGAAAAGAATACAAACTTGTCATACAAAAACAAAGCCGGTCAAAACCCCCTTTAGGGACACCCGCTTAAAACAGACACCTCATTAGTACGGACCGTTTGCCTTCTCACTGGGGAAAGATAGCTCTTACATGTTCTTTAAATTCAACCTAGCTTAATACGGACACCCCGTTGATACAGACACTTTCTATACCCCTCTGAGTGTCCGTATTTTGCGGAATTTCTCGGCTGCATATCAAAAGAGTCAGGATCTTTCATTAATGACCATAACCTGCCGTTTTAGGAAGAAGACTTATGGTTAAATGGAGGTGGCACCCTTGAATTTCTTTGAATTGTCGTTACTCCAGTTATGTATCGTAGCTTATCGTTTACTCCCAATCTACAACTGTGGGGAAAAATCTAAGTATGTGCAGCGTTTATATATTATATTTTGCCTTCGCATCTACAATCTAATAGATATCAACGAGTGTACGACGCTCAATCACGACTGCTCTCCAAACGGCCGATGCACCAATGTGGACGGAACATTCTTGTGCAATTGTAACGCAGGATTTACTGGAGATGGGAAAACATGTACTTGTAAGTTATAACCGATAATGAACAAGTACCAAGTACTACAAATGGTGTCTTTATAAACAGAATGTTTTCCTCCCTTTCTAATTAAGTATTCAATTAGGTTATTTGCAGCATGATCTCAGACTTGTATTTAATGGACAAAACGAAGAACGTGCTATTTATTGACTGCTGTCATTTTCTTTCTGCTTCATCCATAAGGATAAATAATAGATTATGATGACACCGGAATTGAGTCCTCCAGTTTCCAGCTATAATTTTTCGCGCGCTTGCATGCGATTGATTTTCTTTTCCAAGATTTACTTTGAAAAACATGTTTTTTTGTTTTGTTTTCATTTTGTTTTCCTTTTAACTAGACACAGCGAAAGTAATCCCTTATTTAAGATCAATTCTTTTGACCCTTGTAGTTTCCTGTTTCCTTAATGCTGTTGGTGTTGCTGACAAAGATATTGTTCCTAATGGCAAGATGACAGCTTCTTCAATGTACTGGAAAGATTCATTTGCATACTATGCTCGACTCAACGGAAATAAAGGATATGGCTGGTGTTCAGATGAGTGTTGTGAGAATGATGAGTGGCTTCAAGTTGATATCGGGAGAACCATTGAAATATGTGGTATCGCTACCCAAGGATCTCCGAGAGGGCAATATTGGGTTGAAGATTTTAAATTTTCCTATTCTACCGACGGAAGCAGTTGGACTACCTATCAGGACCCAGAAGGAACTGAAATGGTAAGATGGAATTATCGTCACATTATCGTCAATCCAAAAAACCTTTTAACTTCCCCACTTCAAAACACGTAGGTTCTCTGGCCGCGATATGAGGTAAAAAAAAAGTAATAAATAAAATTAAAATAATAATAATAATAATAATAATAATAATAATAATAAGCCCTTGTTGGGCACGTTTTGAATAAGAAATTAAGGACTGAATTAATAAGTTACTGAATAAATAAGTAAATAACTAGTAGATAACGATTTAGAAGCAGCACAGCCACATAATGATTCTTCGTTTACCTTGCCTGGTCGGATATAGTAAATTCAAAATGTCGGTTTTTGAGAAGAGGGAAAAACTGGAGTACCTAGAGAAAACCTTCTCGGAGCAATAAACACCGAACTCAACCCACATATTGCGTCGCTGGTATCTGAACCCTAGCCATATTGATGGGAGGTGACTGCTCTCACTCACCACTTGTCTTACTTCCAAGAGCTTGAAACGTACAGACAGTTTTTAATTCTGAAGGAACATTAAGGATGAGAAAATACATTAATAACATAATAAAGCAACATACACAGTAAAAGAAAGTAAAAGAAAACAAAATAACTATAACTTCGTTAATATATACCACTCAAAAAGTTAATTAAATCCACAAAAAACCGGAGTAACCGGTGCCTTATCCACTACTAATACAAAGTTCTATGATAGTGCAAAGTCTTAGCTCAAACGGCTTAAAATTGAAAAACTTGTTTGAAAGAGATCTCTTTTTGATGACAGCTGACCCGCCGTGAAAGGTTACAATATTTTTCACTGTCAACCGTCAATGATACAGAGTAATATTATCCTTTAAAACGTTTCAAGGTATTTCCGAGTCTCACTAGTTTAGATGATCTTCATGAACTTTTGGCTCCTGAAGAAATTCATGACTTGAAACTTCAAAAACACTTTCTTTGCACATAACAAGATCTTAAAACTTTGTTATATCTTAAAATTTTCTGAAATTTCATGTGTGAAAGGCCAAGGCAACTTGACTCCAAAACACAACAGTTAATAGTCATTGGACTAAATTTTCGCAAAATAACCTTCAACCGTGAAAATTGGAAAAAAAAAAATAATAATAACCTTCAACCGTCTAAGCTACCACCCCATTGAGACCATCTTAGTAAAACAATTTCAATAGCAAGATTGTTTCTATACATCTTGATGTCTTCAAACGAATATGGTAATAGAATAAACAAAACGAACCGGAAAAAAAAAATGGGCGCTAATCATTTTTGCAGAAGGGAATGGAATGCTTTAACTTACCGTTCCAAAGCCTATCATCTTCATTCCGAATAATCAAGATAATATCCTGTCAAACGGGGGTTGACATAGAGACAGATGCAAGGATAATACAGGCAAATAATTTATTTATAGGTGTTTAACAGAAATGGAATGGGTTCCGGAGTCGATGAACATAGTTTGTCGTTGCCTGTGTCTGCAAGAGTCGTTCGTTTTCGTCCAACCGACCATTATGCATGGAACTGTTTAAGAGTGGAGGTGTATGGTATTACGCCGGGTATGTCATCGTTTTTAAGAACGTTAAAAGTGTCGTAGGACAATTTATTGAGTATTTCTTAATTTAGATTTTTTTATTAGATTTTTTTTGTAAATGTCTCTGTTTGATTGATTTTCTCCCACCTTTTAAAATTTAAACATTTGTATTGTTGTTGTTGTTTTTTTCCTAGCCTCATGATTAGGTGCTTTCAAGGTACCTCCGAGAAGAAGTCTGTGACCAAGTAAGGACGTAAGGGATGAATTTCATAACCTATACCGTCTTGCAAACCACCAGAAAGACTGATAAGTCCAGCAAAGATCCACCAGCTAAAATGTTTTCTTACAATCGCCTAAATATTTTCACCGTCCTTTAAAAATGTAAAAATGACGACCGAGAAGACGATTCTAGCTACTATCTAGTGCTCGATTGTGTCACTTGAAAAGGTCGGGAGTGCGTAGTGTCAGCCTGACAAAACAGCTAACATTTCGTGACACCACTTCAGTTGTCCCTTTCGTAAACGGTCGCTGCCGTTTTTTAGACATTTAGAAAAATTTTGCCCCCTTATTAAGAGTGTTTCTATCAAGTAATGATGATTTTGGCCAATCATAATAGTTGCAAACTATAGCAAAGAAAAGTTTACAATTTTGCATGTTTCTCACATAAGATTTCTCTCATGCTCTATCAGTCTCAGATGAGATTTTCTTTAATAATGAAGTTGGCTAGAAAACAAGGGATTAATATACATGCTGCTTTGCAAAGATTTCGTAAAACTGGAATTTTAATCCAATCAGAAGTGTAGTAGAGACTAAGCTTAGCACCTTTTGGCATTCCGACCTGTACATTGCGTTTGGTGCTTTCCTTCATATCTGTACCCAGACCTTTCGCATCCTTATCTCTCTCCCTTATGACAAAACAACCACCTAGACCCGCAAAAACTGATTCCGAAATATTTAATTTTATAAGTGCATTAGACTAGCAGACTGTCTTTCTTAACTGTTATATCAATAACAGATGATCCTAGCCCTTTCCATAACATTAAACGTAAATTAAACTTGGGCTTTGAGGTCGCTCTTTCTAAGACTATTCAAAAACGTATTATTTGCCTCATTATAACTTAATCCAGAACTTAATCTAAGGTATATACTAGAGGTTCCACACTGGATGTGAAGTGCGGCCCCATGTACATGTAGAAAGATCAAGGGCTTGGAACGGCAGTAAATAATCTATCGTGTGTCAGTTTAGGATATCACATTGTCTTCAAGGTTGTAAGATTAAAAAAGGGGAGCAGCCCATCATCAGTAAAGAATTTATTACATGGTTGCCATTTAACAAATCCTTTACTTATCACCCTCTTTTTTTTTTTTTTTTTCCCTCAAATATCCTGCTATTTGAAAGGTTGAGAAACTAGTTACTCTTCAGCTCAGATGTTATCTTCAAGTCATCATTATCATTTTCATCATCATCGTCATCATCATCATCTTTTTTAAGGATTGTCAGTAACGAAACATATAAAAAAAAACTTTCTTGTGGGTGGTATATGTAGAATCACTTGTTTATGTTATTTGGGTAAATCGAATCTGGAACACTAACACTTTTTGCGGGAACTTCCCAGGGATGTCAGAGTCAAAAACGCAGTTGTTGAACACCAGTTACCATCGCCGCTGTCCACACGATACCTTTGCTTCAATCCAACAGATCAAGTTGGATGTAACTGCCTGAGTGTGGAGCTGTACGGTACCACTCCTCGAAAATGATCGTCGTTACTAATGACAACTGTTTTCACAGCCAAAGAGTTAAAACTTTAAGTTTCTAGCAAAATTCACATTGTATGCCAAGAAGTTATTAAACCTGGACGCAATTATTCAAGCCCATTACCCCTAAAATTATCTGAAATCCAATTTTTCGTTTAATAACTATAACACGGTGGGGCCAAACCACCCCCAACCCTTCCTCCAAAGAAGCTATCAAAGCGTGGCAATTTTGGTCAATTTAGAATAACTTTGTTAGCTTTAACTCTTGCCTTACTAAACTTGGCCTGAAAATACGAAACATAGAGGTTTATAGGATTACACCAAATGTCAAACTATGACGTCACATTTGCTGACGTCATCGATACTTAAATTTTACACTTTTGAATCTCCCAATAGTTTATACAGTTTTTGATAGAAATATTCCAGGGAAGTTGAAAGCTGAAAAAAATTATCCAACATCTCAAATATGAACTGAGATATGGCATTTTGAATTTGGATAAATTCGTAGCAGAAAAGCAGGCCACCCCCTTGTAAAATAAGTCTAAATTTAAGAGTTTTATTGTCAAGTCGCAACTGCTATGTAAGTTACACGTAACACATCTTTACTGTCGAAAGCTAAAAGAAAAAGAAAGATTTGAAAAAAAAGAAATTCCAAACTGCGCAAAAGAATGGAAAACAATTTTGTAGCGTCATAAAATGTCACGTGATCCGTTTTTTGGTTTGCTCAAATTACTGTTTTTGAGTCAAACAACGAAACAAAATGATACGATTTTGGCAACCATAAAAGGTTTGAGTTACCGAAAAATCAGCTTATTTTGCAAAAAACTGCGAAAAAGTTATCATAGGGATCGTTTTTAAAGGAAAAGTATGGATCTGGGCGCACTCAAATTTCTCAAAGTCCCATAACTCGGGTTTTACGTGTCGTAGTAGGTTTTCGCTGATTTATATGGGGCGCCTTACTGGACATTATTGCAAACCTTTGATATATGTTCTAAACTCCAGTTTGATATGCTCATTGTCATATAAACATGCTAAACTCCAAATAAATATGGTGTATCTACTTCTGTTCTATATGGCCATTGTCATATAATCGTGCTAAACTCCAGATAAATAGCCCGCAATAAATAAATACAGCCTGTTTTCAACCCCTAAATTTGCAGTGTTCTCTGAAAAAATTAGCATGCTCAACTTTTCATTTCGTATGGTATGATGCACCGCGCGCTTTAAGCAATGCCGCTACCCAGATCCCTATCGGCCAAAATAGGCCGCCATTTTGAGAACTGCAATAGGGCAGCAATAGTGGAAAGTAGCGAAGATTTTCGAGAGGCATTATTAAATATCGCTCGCCAGGCAAGGTCACTAGTGGACAATTTTAATGATGGTAATGTGCAGCCTATTGAGCAACGAATGTTGAGTCAGAGACATCATGAAACGGGAGTGTTGTCGACGCGAACACCATCAAGTCAGACAAGAAATGTAAATATGGAAAGCACACCAGTCAGCACTCAGTTAAGAAATTTATTTCCGACTATTGGTACGAGATCATTTGGTGGAAAATCTTCTGAAAGCAAATCTAGTAAAGGTAAACGGCCTCCCCCAAAAAGACCAAAGAAAGATATAGTGCATAAAGATGTAGTTCTTCTTCCTTCTCCTGACACGAAATCAGTTCCCACGCACCAGACACGATGGAAAACAACGGTTTCGTTGTTCATGCATTTCCAGTAGATAAGTCTCTACAGGAGGAAGATCTGAGAGCTCAAATAAGAGAGGTATTCCCAGCTCTTAAAGAAACAGACTT